GTTTTGATTGTCAGACGGTCGTAAAAGGTGATCACATGACCCAGAGACACAGTAACTCATAAATACATGCCAGTTTCCAAACATCTGAATTTTGATCATGTGACCATTGGGGTAGTGCAGTGGTCGTAAGTGTGAAAAATGGTCATAAGTCACTTTTTTCAGTATCCTTGTAATTCTGAATGGTCACTAAATGAATGGTTGTAAGTTGAGGACTACCTGTATCAATAAACGGACATCTGGCAATATGTTTTTGTTGAAAACATTTGGCACAGCACAGTGCACAAAAACCCTAAGCTGTTATATGATTTGTGTAGTGTATTAATCATGTATTTGGAATCTGTTTTTTGAACTTCGGCAATTGTGATTTATTCAATAATTATTAAACAATGGTTTATATGATAGATGAATTGTAGCTCTCTCTTCATGGAGAATATATTTTGTCTTTAGAGTTTTGTGATAAATTGTTTTATTAATATTGTTTTATACAATATTAAGACACAAAAAACAGCAAGGCTTCAGGATTGTTGCCTTTTTGTAATGAAACATTTGAATAAAAAATATAATTTAGAAAAATAAAGGAATATTTCACTCTAAAAAGCCCTAAAAATCACTATTAAGCTTCAAGCTTACTTATTAGGAACCATAGTCAAAAGATTGTAAATCACTCTTAATAATGAATTAAATGAATGCCAGCATCTAATTTCCCATAAATCTCTTTTCTATATATTAAATTCTATACGTTAGAAAAACAAATTTGTGGAGTGGTATATCTACAAAGTGGAGAGTTGATTTCTGACAGAAAGCCACTTGAAGAGACTAGAAGCATTTGAAATGTGGATTTATAGGCGGCTGTTATGTATAAGTTGGGTTGACAAAATCAGAAATGAGGTGATAAGTCACCTGGGAAAGCCAAGAGAAATAATCAAAACCATAAAAAAGTTTTGGACATGTGATGCGACCCCCAGAAAAATACAGCATACTTCACTTAATCCTCCAAGGAAAGATTAAAGGCAAATGAGGTCCAGGCAGAAAAAGAACATCATGGCTTCAAAATCTAAGAGACTGGTTTGGACAAAATTCAACAGCACTTTTTCGTGTGGCTGTTAATAAAAATAGGATTGCCAACATGATCGCCAATATCCGATGACGGATATGGCACAACAACAAAAAGAAGAATATATACGAAACAATTAAATTATAATCCAGGTTTAATTTCTGATTACAGTAGAATAAAATTCAGATTTACTTTGAAGACACAAAGTTATTTTGAAGATTGAAGATTCCTCCACAGCTTGTTACCATTTTTCCAAGGACGCAATAATTTTCAGCACTAAGCTCAACAGTCTTTTTTTTTTTATTGAAAAGTTTTACAAAGAAAAATCCCCCCCCACAATATTCCCCCCACCCTCTTTCCCTCCCCACCACCCCCACCACCCTTCCCATCCCTCCCTCCCCCCCAGACTTCCCAGAGCAAAATACAGGGCATTTCAATTAACAATCATAAGCTAAATTAACTTAACTTATTCTTAAACTACCAAATCTCCCCTTGAAACCTTAACTCCACTATGGCTAGAATTTAACATTCATTCATAAGCTATTTGATATTTTCTTGTCTGATACTTATTTTGAATATAATCAATCCATCTTCTCCATTCCGATATGTATCTTTCTTGTGTATAGTCCTTCAGATACGCTGAAATTTTCGCCATTTCTGCTAAATTCGCTACTTTCAATGTCCATTCTTCAATAGTAGGCAAAAAATATGGAACGCTTCACGAATTTGCGTGTCATCCTTGCACAGGGGCCATGCTAATCTTCTCTGTATCGTTCCAATTTTAGTATATGTGCTGCCGAAGCGAGCACTAAGCTCAACAGTCTTACAGCAGTTAACATATACAAATTTACCTCAGTATACAGTGGTGCTTAAAAGTTTATGAATTCTTTTGAATTTTTAATATTTTTGCATAAGGATGATCTAAGATGAGTTCTATTCTCCACACAAGTACTAAAACTAGTTAAAGAGATCCCAATTAAGCAAACGTGTCAAAATCATTACACTTATTCACTGATTCTAGAGGGAAATGGTCCAAAGCTACATAATTGTGTGTGGCAACAGTAGATGAACTTTTGCTTTCAGTACTGGTTTGCCCAATCGCCCTCTCTCCCCCCGCCCCGTCGCGGGCAGCAATAACTGCAACTAAATGTTTCTGATAACTTATTGGCCTTGTACATCAGCTTGGAGGCATTTTAGCCTTTTCAGAACAGCTCCAACTCAGGGATGTTGATAGGCTCCCTAAGGAACTCAGGTCCTTCCACAACATTTCTATAGGTTTAAGGTCAGGACATTGGTTTTGGCCATTCCAAAACATTAACTTTCTTCTGCTTGAACCATTCTTTGGCCATACAACGTGTGTGTTTTGGGTTGTATGACACACACAAGAACTGAACTGACATTCTTCTACAGAATTTGCCGGTACAATGTTTTTAACTCATTTATTTAATTGGGTTCTCTTTATCTAGTTTTAAGATGAGTGATGGGAATAGATTATTCTTAGGCCATATTTATGTAAAAATATTGAACATTCAAAAGGATTCACAAATTTTTAAGCACTGCTGTACCTTGAAGGAATATATGGATTGCTGTCTTTAGATACCAGATATTGCTTCAGCCACATGGTCGTCTTAGCATGAAATTATAGCACATTATTTATCTGACCATATCTATTTCTGTGACATCTTGCCATGCAGTTAGCATTGCTAATCATTCTTGTTAACAAATTATAATATTTTGGGCAGAGCATTCCTGAATATATAAATGTGTCACTCTTACGTTTGTCTGGAAATTCTTTTCGAGTATGACTTATTGATCTGTCAGTCTGTCCAATCCCCATAAATACTGGAGTTGGGCTTGTAGGTGGATCCTTAAGTGAAAGGAAAATGTCCTTAAGTTTTATCCAAGTACTTCTGTAATTTGTTTCTTGTTCAAAGATTTGTATGAACCCAGAGATTGGGTAACCAATTCACTGTGTAAATTAATCATGTGTAAGTACCTCATACTGATACACATAGTTCCTATGATTGTGCAAAGGTAGAAAATCTGTTCTCCAGACATTAATGAATCATAGTGCCAAGCCACCCTAAACAGTATGACCAATGGTGAGGACTGAGTTTTACTTCAGCAATTATTTGAGTGTGTCACTGAACCTCAATCTTTCAGTAGTAATCCTTGCATGCAGCTGCTCACACTAAGAACAGAAGTTTTACTAGAAAGTTTTCTTCCTATTAGGTAAAAAAGGAGCAAAAACAGACATTTAGTCTTATTCTTTACCACATAACAGCATGTGAAGCAACAACATCTCAATTAAACCAGTGTAAACAATTATCATGCTAGGGTAAGAAAGCAGCAATCCAACAAAAGCTCAGTCCTCCAGGACACATATGCTAATTAAAAGCATTGTTTAGTGTCACTTTAAAGCTATAGCAACCTCGGGAAAAAGTGATTTACAATCACTTTTTTATTTCCACTTACAACTATTGTATCACCCTCGTAGTCACAGGATCACAATTTGGGCACTTGATAGCCAGCTTGTATGTAGGACCAGTTCAGTGACTAGTCAAATGATCATGATTTATGATTCTTTTGACCAATTTCTGGCAAAAATAAATTGCCCTTTGAGGAAGCTGGATTCACTTAATGACTGGCAAAAGAATTGTTGTAAAATTGAGTCTGACTCAACTTAGGAGTCCAACAACTTACAGCAGAAATTGTGCTCACAATTGTGATCATAAATCAAGAATTACTACATGCTTTTTTCTAACTGAAGCCCATATGAAAATTCCTAAGATCACATCAGTAAGTGCTGGTTCTCCTAGAATAGGGTCCCCAACCCCCGGGCTGCGGCCCGCTACCAGGCTGTGGCCTGTGCAAGTGGCAGGCAAGTGCACACGTTTGCAGCTTCACTTGCATGAGTGGCAAGTACTCACAGTCACGCGTGCCTGCCACTTACGCAGAACTACTGCCTCCCCCCCCCTTGCTGGGCCACCAGTCAGAAAGTTTGGGGACTGTTGTCCTAGAACAGGGGTGTCAAACTCAATTTCATTGAGGGCTGCATCAGGGTTGTGTTTAATCTCGGGGGCCTGGGGTGGGCATGGTCAGCTCGACGTCACTCCTTTTAGGGGCGCCTGTGGTGGCCCGAGCGCTCTGCCAGCGAAAACAGGCTCCCGAGCTCCGTTTTAACTGGCAGAGGGTTGCAGGAGGCCATGGCAGCCGAAAACGGAGCTTGGGAGCCCATTTTTGATGGCAGAAGCATTGCGGGCTGGTCCTTCGCTGTTTCCAGGGCAACCCACAAGGCCAGATATAAGTACCCCACAGGCCGGATCCGGCCCCCGGGCCTTGAGTTTGACACCCCTGTCCTAGAAGAAATGGTGATGATGAATGAAGGGAAAACCCATCAAGTTTGTCACATCACCTCATCAGATGGAAAGTAGAAGTAGACAAGGAGGTTATAGAGATGGCAGTCCAGTGTTCTCCTGTGGCTAGTATTCAGAGCTGTGCTACTTCTGATTCTAGAGATAGTGGGTATAGCCAATATGACTGAAGCCATTGTTGATCTTATTCTCCATGAATGTTGAAACTCCATTGGTGGCCAATCCCATCTAGAGTCCCATAAAACTGAAATGGGTGGTTATATTAAACAAACATTCTTGTGTTTATTTCTTCTCCTAAATTGCAGCGATTCCTGTTTATTCCTGTTGTGCCAAAGAAAACTTAGGCCACTCTGCTCCACTATCACTGGAACCCCATATCTTTGTTAGTGGTGTGCTTCTATTGCAGAAGCTAATACCGTCTCTGCATTCCAATAAGTTATTTTTGTTTGTTTGTTTCCTGATAGTGTTATGTAATATTTAAACATACGAAATCTAACCAATTAAAACCTGAAGTACTAGATTAATAGTATCCCTTTCAATGTCAAACATTTATCTCGTGTGTGCTTTTCCAGGTTAAGAATGTAAATCCAGAGCCAGTGGCAGTTTCCCCGGGGCCTGACTATCCAGATCGAGTTGCCAGTTCTACAGGATACTCCGTTTCTGATGCTCCTGCACATCAGATTCGCAAGGACAACTACACAGCTAGTCCGTGAGTAATCCTTCCCATTTTTCTGCTTGCTTGTTTGAATGAATAAACTGTTCCAACTCCTACCCTCAAAGCGACGCTATAGAGCACTGCACACCAGAACAACTAGACACAAGAACAGTTTTTTCCCGAATGCTAAACTCTGCTAAACAAATAATTCCCTCAACACTGTCAAACTAGTTACTAAGTCTGCATTACTATTAATCTTCTCATTGTTCCTATCACCCATCTCCTCCCACTTATGACTGTATGACTGTAACCTTGTTGCTGGTATCCTTAAGATTTATATTGACTGTTTCCCTATGACTATCATTAAGTGTTGTACCTTATGATTCTTGATGAATGTATCTTTTCTTTTATGTACACTGAGAGTATATGCACCAAAACAAATTCCTTGTGTGTCCAATCACACTTGGCCAATAAAGAAAGAATTCTGAATGCAGTGTATTTGAAAGAGAGGGCAAAAACATGGGTGCAAGCCAGGGGTGAAATCCAGCAGGTTCTGACAGGTTCTGGAGAACCGGTAGTGGAAATTTTGAGTAGTTTGGAGAACCAGCAAATGCCACCTCTGGCTGGCCCCAGAGTGGGGTGGGAATGGAGATTTTGCAATATCCTTCCCCCAGGAATGGGGAGGCAATGGGAATTTTGCAGTATCCTTCCCTGGAGTGGGGAGGGAATGGAGATTTTGTAGTATCGTTCCCCTGCCACGCCCACCAAGCCACACCACGCCCACCAAGCCACGCCCACAGAAGCAGTAGTAAAAAAAATTGGATTTCACCACTGGTGCAAGTTATATGAGAATTTTCTCCTCCTTAGAGCAATTTTACAGACCATGAATCCTCATTATATTGCTGTTGGTGAAACTTTTAAAATCAGTGTTATTCATTCTAGCTTTCAGTCCTTTCAGAGATTTTTTTCTGCTACTAATTGATTTACAATGTACCAAATGTACTTTTGCTCTTTTTTCTAATTTTGTAAATCATCCTATTTTTCTTTTATAAGAGCAGCATATACAGGTAGCCTTGGAGTTACAACAGTTTGTTTACTGACCATTGGAAATTACAATGGCACTATAAAAAGTGACTTATGACTGTTTTTCATATTTACGACCGTTGCAGCATCCCCTTGGTCACGTGATCAAAATTCAGATGCTTGGCAACTGACTTGGATTTATGACAGTGTCCCAGGGTCATATGATCACCTTTTGAAAGCAAAGTCAGTGAGGAAGCCAGATTTACTCAGCAACTTTGCTACTAATTTAACAACTGTAGTGATTAACAACAGTGGTAGGTCATAAAATGGGGCAAAACTCACTTAATACGTGTCTTATTTAATGACAGAAATTTTGGGTCCAGTTGTTTTAGTAAGTCAAGGACTACCTGTATTCCACTAAATATTAATATGCTTGTACATGATCAACCCAAATACTTTAACCATTTTAATAACTGGCTCTAATAAATATCATAAATATGAGGTATTAATTGGCCCTAATTAATTCTAGAATGAGAGGCTTCCAAGGTTTTCCAGACTGCAGCTAGACTGGGAAGTTGAAAACCAACCCAAAGAAGGCAAACAATTTTTTAATGTTTTCTAAGGAAAAAACACGGGCATCTCCACATTCACCAGGAATAAAGCTTGCTCTGAAGACTCATCTTTTTTTTTTTTGTTTAAATCAAACACTTGTGCTTGATTTATTAACTGTAATATTTAAAATTAAGTCCATAAATTGAGTTATACATGGTACTCTACAAGCATATTCAATACACTGAAAAGTTATGTTATGCAGACCTAATGACCAAACTTTTTAAAAAGTTCTAAATAAGGGATGGGGGAACTGCAGTCTGTTCAAATATAGTTTTGTATTAATGAAATGATTGTCTTATATGTATGTTCCAGTTCTAATCTTTATTTGTGTAAGATAGGCATTGTTTGGATAAGAATAGTCAATTTGCCTTTTGATAACGTAGTATATAAATACACAATTATAGCGAACCCTGTGCTCTGTGAGACTGCCAGGGCTAGGTAAGAAAGTAGAGCTGAGACAGACAGTCTTGCAATCCGGGATCACATAACTACCTTTGGAAGTCTTGGGTGCAGCCAACAGAACCCTCCCAGAGTTTATCACACAGTGGTAAATGATTAAATTTACCTTCCTCCCCCCCCCCCCCCCCCCCGCTTTAATTTTTGCTTAAGTTGCTTTCTGGAACCCCAGTCTTTCCACCTGAAATAAGTTATACCGTCATGATATTGTCTTTGTTTCTTGTAGTATTTTCTACTACAGCATCGTCTTTGTGTTGCAGTTTAGATTGAATAATATGATTAAAGGAAGCTATGATGAAAGTTACAGTAAACAGAAGGCATGAAGCCAATATTTCTGGGTCTTAAGGCAATTAATCTAGTTTGGCTTCCTGATTGGCAGTAATATTCAGTTTTCCTTCATTTGTCTATACTTAATGGAAAGATGATTATCTGTGAATTGAGAATGTCAGCCTGATTTGTTGTTTGGGACTACATGCCTGCCAGATTTGACTCGTTCTTTAATCCTTAACAAGATGTTCTATCTTACAGTATTGTTTTTCCTGACCAGTTATATCTTCCCATCTCATCCCATCATTTCCATCCAATTTTGTCTCCTTCCTTTTCACTGTTTTCCTTCCAAATACAGCAACTTTTTCTTCTCCCAGCTTCTCCCTGCTTTTCACCTCCTTTATACTGTTTCTGCTGGAAAGAGGAGAGAAGTATGTCAGAGTGTGTGTTTGTGTATTTCTACAGAGGAGGCTGATTTGTATGTAAGAGAGGCAGAGGTACTCTGGTGCAGAGGCCAATTAGTTTTCTAAATGAGATCATTCGAATCACCAGTAGTTAATACAAGTTAACTCTTGAATTAACAGCCTTGTTTAATGGACTTTGGATGCTATGAATAAAATCTGTAACTTGTAATTTCCTTCAAATGTGTAGAATCCTGTTTGCCATTTTATGCATGCATTAAAACCTATTCCCTATTGTATGCATATATAACTGCCTGAAATATGCATACATAAAATAAATAAAATATGCATGCGTAAAATCGTGTTTCCATGCATAAAACATTCACATTTATAGTATCATTTGGATTTAACTGTCATTATTTTCTTAGATACTACTTTCCCGTGTTAGTATGTTATATCCAGCATTTAGTTGTAATTCAATTTATGCTCCCCCATCACCACTAGTTCTGGCTCTTCTTTTTTTTAGATAGGCTTTTGATGTTTGTGTATGTGCGTCTGCATGCATGCAGTGTATAAATGTATACTCTCTCTCCCTCTCTCTCTCTCTCTTTCTCTCTTTCTCTCTCACATACACACACACACACATTATGCACATGCAAGTGTTTCACATGCATGTATTTTTTACAGAAAAATATTCCAGAATTGGTTTCAGTGGGACGTGGTGACCTAAATTAGTAAAGGGGAGCAAAATAGATAATGCACAGGATTTTTGTCTAAATAAATATTTCTTGCTGTTTACTTTTCCATTAGAGATGGAGGTGAATTTGTCGTCCTTTGGGATAAATATGATAATGTTAGAAAGATTCTTTTAGTTCATTTTCTCCCATGTTTTTTATAAAGTAGTATTTTTGCAAGAGCATTATATGAGAAACATCAGTAATTTAGATTATTGGAGAGATGCAGGGCATTTCAAAGAGGTATATTGAGATATTTCTATTTGTTTAGAAGTCTGGCTTGCTTTTTCTTACTTCCATTATTAGCTTCCCAGTAATGTATGCTATACTGCCAAGAGGCTTCTATACGAGTTTGCTTTCTGATGAAGTATTTTGAGAGTACCATGGAGCTATTTTGTAAACAAAAAGCCCTGCACTCTAAAAACTGAAAGGTAGTTTTTAGAGTGCCCTTCAACACTTTAAAATTTTCAGATTTGCCTGCTGATCTTGAAGATTTCTGGTTTGTTGCACCATTTTAATCAGGTATATGCAATTTAGATATATCTTTGATATAGTTTTCAGGTCTTGTCACGTGCTACACAGTAGCTGGTATAACCGATGTGTCAAGGTTCCAAGCAATACGTCCTCAGAATAAAAGTCCAAGGCATCCATTTTTCTTTAAAGTCTGTTTATTAGGAAAACATCAAATTGGCACGGTCTTGGTGCAATTCCGACTCTGGCCAGACTTCAGAATTACACCCAGTAAAAAGCAAAAGTTTGAAACTTCCCCCCATAGTTTCAATCTCCAATCAGTTCTCAGTCCATAGTCCAATGACTCCAAACTCCACCTTCCTCCAGCTGCAGGCACCATCTCAATTCCCACGAGAAGGAATGCCACCTAGCCATAGGTGGCATTATCTCTACAACTCCCCTTCCTGTTGCTAGAATGTGGCGAACCTCAAGCACTGTTAAATTCCTTTATAGAAAAGCTAAAGAAAGCTAAGAAAAGAATAGACAGAAAAAAATAGACAAAGGCTACACTAAAATATGGCTACACGTATGTCAACTTCAGGATCGACACGATGTCCATTTTGAGAAGGTTTTAAGGGATGAAATAAGTAACCGAAGAATTTAAAACACTTAAAGCACCCAATTTGGTTTTTTCAAATTACCTACTGTAGATGCTCTGTAGATACTGTAGAGTACTGCACACCAAGACAACTAGACACAAGAACAGTTTTTTCCCGAACGCCATCACTCTGCTTAACAAATAATTCCCTCAACACTGTCAAACTATTCACTAAGGCTGCATTACTGTTACTAATAGTCTTCTCACTGTTCCTGTCATCCATCTCCTCCCACTATGACTGCATGACTGTAACTTTGTTGCTTGTATCCTTATGATTTATATTGATATTGATAGTTTCCTGATTTCTTATTTGTACCCTGTGACTATCATTAAGTGTTGTACCTTATGATTCTTGACGAATGTATCTTCTCCTTTTATGTATACTGGGAGCATATGCACCAAAGACAAATTCCTTGTGTGTCCAATCACACTTGACCAATAAAGAATTCTATTCTATTCTAGATGCTCCAAATTTTTGATGCACATGGGGAAGGGCATGGTCACATTTTGCCTCCCTGATCTACGTGATACAGGGGAAGGTTGAGATTTGTTTTTCAGATGGTAGGTTGTCCAAAACAGTTGGACAGGGTTACTTGAATAGTAGAAAATAAATAATATTTTCCTTCCCTTAGCGTTTACAGTGTGAAGCTAGATAAAGAAGCATTATTGTTGTTTCTCTAGAGAAAAGAAAAAGACCATGGTCTAACTAACTGGAGTTTACAATAAAACCATTTTTCCAGTAAGCATTAAGTTGTACTTAAAATGATTGTAACTTGGAAACTGCACCTTGGTTCATGTCATTCATTAGCTTAAAAAAGACAACAAAGCAGGGTGAAATGCTGCCGGTTTGGACCGGATCCCCTGATCCGGTAGCGATGGTGGCAGGTGGTTTGGAGAACTGGTAGCAAAAATCCCTGAGCCCCCCCACCCCCACCATGCCCAGCTGAGCCGCACGATCATCAGAGGCTTTTTTTTTTACTTTTAAAAGCATTTTTTCTACAACCTCTTCTGACAAAAAAATACTTTTAAAATTGAAAAAGAAAGCGTCTGATGATCGCGTGGCTCAGCTGGGATTGTCAGAGGCTTTTCAAAGCATTTTTTTCTGCAACCTCTTGGCCGAAGAGGTGGTAAAAAAAATGTTTTGAAAAGTCTCTGACGATCCTAGCTGAGTTGCCTGATCGGCAGACAGGCATTTTTTTAAAAAGCCTCTCTGACGATCGCAGCTAAGTTGCTTGATCGGCAAAGGCTTTTCAAAGCATTAGAAAAAATGCTTTGAAAAGTTTTTTTTTTAAAAAAAGTCACACCCACCCACTCACATTGCCCCCCCACCCCCCAAGCCGGTAGTAACAAATTTTACATTTCTCCCCTGCAACAAGAAAAGAGAAAGAAGTAGTAATGGGGAGAGTATGCAATTATTTAATTTATTAGCTCCAGAAAGTGGTCAGTGTATGCCAGTTTTTTCAAACTTGACAACTTTATGATGTTGGGCTTCAACTCCCAGAATTCTGGGACTTGAAGTTTATATTATACATCTTAAAGTTGCCAAGTTTGAAAACACTTGTAGGCTGTAGGCTTTGCAGACTGGCCATTGTGTAATGAGCAACAATTGTATTTAGTCATTCAGATTCTGGAAGTGACTTGCCCAGTCATTAATGCCAAATAATTATGTTTCAATTTTGTAGAAGCCTATAATAATCAGTTAGTTTTAATAATCACCTAATGTTTTTTCATTCTATTTCAATGTTCCAAAATATAAATATTTCCAATACAAATATAATTCGTATTCACAATTGAGTACATTCTTTTGCTTTTCTTTTTATTATTAGGTAATTACAAACAGAGGAATAACTTAAACAACCATTGGTTAAAGTATACTTGCAATTCTAATTATTAGATATACAACTAATAATTTGTTTATTATTTGTGCCTTTGGAAAAAGATATCGGCTTATACCACAAAACAGAATATAAACAATACAGGTAACAAGACTATTACGCCATTTGCCACTGAAAAATTGCCATGTTGCAAATCCATGTAACATAGTTCTTTTATACCGTTTTTTTTCTGCATAATCCAATTAGCCCCCTGGATTGTTGATGTTTTTGGCATGAACCTGAGCTTATTATCTTTACTTTTTAACAGGGTACCTGAAGTTGTTGCTCCCTTAACAAAAGACCTAAAACAGTCCCAGTATGTGAACTCCAGTTACAGTGGGCCAGCTAAGGAGCCCCAACAGAAAAAGAAAAGAGGAAGAACAAGAAGAGCCAACAATGATAATTATGATGCTGATTATACCACAGGTGGCGAATCTTGTGATGAACTGGATGAGAATTGGGACAGGTATTGGCTACTCCACCTATTTGGCTGTGGTATAGCACTAATAGCCAGTGAGGTCTATAGAAGATTTTAATTCTAGCAATATCTATAACTGTATGACAGTTGATGATGATGGGAGTGATGATGATGATAATGATCTAAAGGTATATGCTGCCTAATTTCCAGCAACTCTGGGAGATGTTTATGTGCTATGGAAAGAGGAAGGAATAAAAATCGGGGTTCAGTCTCACATTAGGAATCATCAGCTAATATTTTGACAAAAATGGATGAAATACCTTTCCTGTTACCAAGAAAAGAAATAATCCTATGGTTGAGATGAAGCTCATGCCTTTTATGAAAGCAGGTGCACAATAATTTAAGGTTTTGGAATTCAGTAGAAGTGAAAAATATGGTAGGTAGGTAGGTGGTAGGTGTAGTTGCTGTATTAGTAGTGTGTCAGAATGTGCACAGTGTGATTATTTTGAGACAACCCAGGAGCAAAATACAGTAAACAGAAGTTTGTCATTCAAACAATTGTTGATCTACAAGGAATATATACATACACATACTAGGCAAAGTCAGGCAATCAATTATCAACTATAGCACGGAAGCACACACGGAGAGAGAGACACCCTCACAGGGCCTAAATTATGTATACAGCCTCTTAAAGTCGTATCAGCTCAAAAATCTTGCTGACTCATTCTCTGCCTTATATCATTGTAGCAGCTGGTCAGCTTTTAAAGTATTTCCCTGACATAGTATCATTTGATATCAACTTATAACTATTTGTGTATAAGTGTAGAACAGTGAAGAGAAATGCAGCCAAATATTATATGCTGAAGTGCAGTATCTGAAACTGTAAGACCATCAACTTTATTTTGAGATGCTACGTATATATATCAATGTCTGATTATAGAATTATGGTGAGGATTTTGATGATGATTCCCTCCCTTGATGTTTCAGTCTACCCCTTTGGCACTTTTAAAAAAAATCTTAAGTTTTAAAAAGTCATCCACACAATCTGCATTTTTTAAAAAAAATCTATTAACTGGCTTGCAATATTTACACTATGTCTATAGTGTTATTATAGTTAAGTGATTTTTCTTGTTGACTATATAATTTTTTAAAAATGATGTTTGACAGATTATGTCTGGAGTTATTTGTTTCTGATTGAGTTTTATGAGAAATCAGTCTGGGTTAACTGGGAGTGTTTAATGTATGAATATAGTAAATAAATAAAAGAAGTGGAGCAAATTGTTTAAGACAAAATATAATATCATTTTTTAAAAAGGAAAGCCATAACTGCTCTACATTTTGGAAATATATCTGTTCACATTTTAATATTTGTTCAGTATTGCATTAACCTGCAACAGTATGTTCATTCATAATAAGTATTTATCTAGTTCATTTTCTTTCCATACATTTTTAAAAAATCACCCACACAAAATGTGACTATAAAAATAGAAACTTAAGGAAACCTTAATTATTTAATTAGCATTAACTAGCCCACATGTCAACATTAAAAAAAAAAGTTTGCTGGGTTGGGTTGGGTTAAGAAAGAAGGCAATCTGAGTATAAAATGTTGCTTTATTTTGTAGAAATCATTTTCAACCACAAATGCCTATGCCAAGATGAGAATTGCCTGTAGAGAATCAAATTATAGTCATTATATTTTGCTGTTTGGTCAATATGCTACTCATTGTGTGTAGTTCATTGAAAAAAGGATGCAGAAAATACAGCCTGTCAAGTACATTTGAAGAATTGGTGGAATTTGGGACAAATTTGGAGTGTTTTAAAAACAAACTTAATCAGTGGTTTCCAACATGGGGCTCACGCCCCACGCTCCACAAGGAGGCAATTTGACTTTTAAGGGGGGCAATTGGAACCTTGTTTAAACCAAGTTAATGGCCTTTTAGGCTTCCTCAGAGTGAGTAGGAGTCACTTTTTGAATAATAAGAATTATATGGCACGGGGGGGGGCATCAGGATTTTAGAGATACTTAGGTGGGGCATGGTCAAAAAAATGTTGGGAACCACTAAACTAAATACAAGTTTCTTCCTTTAAAACCCCAGATATTTTTTGGTTAGATACATTTTGCGTAATTTCAGTGTAGCCCTCCAGCTAATAGAAGCTCTGTCTCCATTATAATATGAATTAAAAATGTGGAATTGCAAATTGTTATTATAAAACTGCATGTTTGTACTTATGAGAGTACTAATGTAAAAGAGTATTCAATTAAATGTAAGTGTAATACATATATTGGAGAGCAAAAATGAAAGGTGAATTTAACTCCTATGTTAATATACTTGTTTTTTTGCTTTTTTTTTTTTTTTTTGCAAACGTAAATCGGTTTATTTTGAGTATAATCTCACTGTAGTTATGGACCCAAATCATTTTATAAAATCCATTTTAAATTATTTGTCATCTAGAGAGTATCCATCTGTATCATCAGACCAGCAAAGACAAGCATACAAGCGAGATTTTGATGCAGGATTACAAGAATACAAACGATTGCAAGCAGAACTTGATGAGATCAGTAAAGAACTGTCTCGTCTTGACAAAGAGCTGGATGACTACATTGAAGGCAGTGAAGAATATAAGGTAGCCTCTTTATTTAAAGTTAAATTGATGCAAACCGATAATTCATGTATTTTCCACTTTAAAATATATAAGGAATTATTATGTTTGTAGTTAATGTTGGTCCTAAAGTTATCCTAGAAGTTGGCCCTAGAGTTGATCCTAGAGTTAAGGATGTTGCAACTGCTTTTTATTCAGGTCATGTCCAGAAAATAGGTTGAAGTAATTTTCAGTAATTACCCAAACCTTTTTCAGCTGTCTCACTGAGTGAATCACCTTCAGACTCATTTAACATGACTGGGATTGCTTCACAGCTTCCTATTTTTGTTTTTTGAAATGTTCTAAAACATGAAGCAATATATACTTTTGCAAAATCAATAATAGGTTAAAGACTATTAAATTATTTTGTTCTCAGATGTTTATAGGATACTGAAAATGAAAACATTTCATTTATAAACAAGGACCTAGGGAAAAACACATTAGAATTTATAATCACTATAATTTTGTTTCCTAGAAATTAGTCTTATTCTTTAAAAGGCTTACAAGCATTTTTCTGTTTATGAATTTCACAGAACAGTGGAGTTTATCTAACAAATAAGATTACCTGTGATTAAAATCCTTTATTTTTTTGAGCAGGGGAATGGATAGCAATCTCTGATCAACCAGTCACTAATCGCTGATGGGAGTTGGAGTCTATCAGCATTTGATATAAACTCTGCATCCCTGATTTAGAGGAAATGGCATATTAAGGAAACTTTTAAAAGTTATTCAGACAATAAAATTGTCTATTTGCTATGGTGGTTAACAAAATAAAAAGTATTTAGGAGTTCAACTTTCACATGAGGAAGGTTTTGTGCCTCAATACTCATTGCTTCTTCCTTCCTGACACATTAAAAACTTAACCTTCTTAAAAGATCATATTCTGAACTTAGTCTGAGAATATTGAAGTCTCTTTTCACTATTTTTTGGTTTAGACATCCTTCCAGTATATTCAACAATGGTTAAGAAAAATGCTTTGGGCTTCTTTTAGAATATCTTTTCACAAATGCAGTTTTTTTTGTTCCTCTCTGCCAATCATCTTTTTTTGTGTTCCTCTCCATATAAACACAATGGAGACCAGAATTTCATTTGTAAGTCATTGCAGTTGTTAAGCGAGACCCACATGACTCCTTCATTCAATGACTGCATTTTCAGCACTCACAGTTGTAGTTATTAAACAATTGCATGGGTTGTTAAGTGGAGTGCCCGAGTGCCTCAGGTACAGTATAAGCTACACAGTACAGCAGTAGGCAGAAGCACTTGGTCGAGCTTGAGGTAGTTCAGCAGTCTCAGCCAGTTGAAAGTGATTTCTTTAGGCTTGCAAGAAAGCTTGAAACAAAGGCACAATTGCTTTAAAGATATGTTCATATTCTGCATGTTTTAACATATCTATACATATTTCAAATATTTCAAATGTAAAGAGTTAGCAGTAATTTGCCTTTAAATGCATTGGGTTTCAACTCAGTGGGTAAATTACCCCAAATTAGGTAAAAGTGGTTTCTCTTTGGGTAATGACACACAAACCCCTTACCCAATTTAAAGCAGGGTTTTCTTATTAGTGATAAACAAGATTGTTTGATAAGTGGTTTGGGTAATGAAGGAAAAGGATTGGAAAGTAATGAACTACTACATGGTTGTCTAATTTGACACTGGGTCTTTTTTTCCCCATAGGCTGCAGCTGATGAATACAACAGATTGAAGGATATCAAATCAGTAAGTGGTTTTAAATACTAAAGTGGCAAGATTCAGTTTTAACTTTAATAAATTTTCATCGTTGAATCTTTTCAGGTCCCTCATTTACATTTCAAATTGTTTAGTTTATTTTCTTCTTTCCTTACTCATTCTTCATCTTCAGGCTGCTATGTGAGCTACTCATCATAACTCCTGTTTAATAGCAGCTTCCCATTTCCCAAATACTCCAGATAGATAGGATCATCTTGTGGAAACAAGTCTTTGGATCCGGCAAAGAAGGCAGAGGCGCTTTCCCCAGAGCCAATTCTCTATCTACTAGGGCTTTATGACACCAAACCTTGGTGGCACAGCAGACTAAAGTGCTGTTAAATAGCACCAGCTGCCTGCAATTACTGCAAGTTCAAATCTCACCAGGCTCAAGGTTGACTCAGCCTTCCATCCTTTCGAGGTAGGTAAAATGAGGACCCGGATTGTAGGGGCAATAAGCTGACTTTGTATAAAAAAGAACACCGCTTAGGGGGCCCCGAAAGCCCTACTAAGCAGGTATATACAAAAGTATGAAGGCTATTGCTTAACGCATTGTAAGCTGCCCTGAGTGTCCGGAGAAGGGCGGCATATAACTCGAACCAATAAATAAATACAATAAATAAATAAATAAACCTTAAGAAATAAGTCAAAGTGAAGAAAGAGTTATATAGTAGTCAAATTTACAATAATCACAGTGATTCAAGATGTAAGAGTGTATAGACTGATTATAGCAAATCTTATACAATATAGGGTTCATAGAGAAAGGGCACAAGAACAGTTCGATCTTCTCATAGAAAGAGTTTGCAACCAGTAGTAGGAAATGTAGATGGGTTGCCTTAGGAATCCCAACTGTCTTCCTGTTGGGGGAAAAATATTTTTATTCCTAGGGCACTTTGCATAACAATAATACAATTGTCATGCTAACTGCTGTGTGTTGTTAACTCTCAATCCATCTCAGATAGGGAAAGCTGGAAGGGCATTTGCTATCTGCATCCTTAAGGGGATGGGGGTTGTAAAGACCATCAAAGTTTATGGTTCAAGGAGGACATGCCTAAGGTAGATGATTTAAATGTATAGAAAAAGCTGCCACAGTTAAAGCAATTGTGATAGACCTTGTATCACCAGAAACAGAAGACAGGAAATAAATTCAAAGGTTCAAGTGATGGTACTAATTCTAATAAAGGATAGAAATGTAGGATCAATATGTGTACCAACTTATAAAATTAAAAAGGACTCAACTTTGCCTCTGTATAATGCTAAATGTAAAATTAGCTCCATATTCAGTACAATAGTTAACAGTATAATCTTTCTTGAAGATACCAGCATATAAGCATAGCTTGGTCTTCTCAAATTTCTGATATCAGAACCACAGCAAACAAATTTCTCTCTCTCTCTCTCTCTCTCTCTCTCTCTCTCTCTCTCTCTCTCTTTACTTTTTTTTTTTTTTTTGCTTACCTCTGTCCCTAATAAATGTTGAGATTTCTTAATGCCTGGTCTGGCTGACAAAACACAAGTTAGTCACAAGAAAAAACAAGTTCATACAGATCTGTAATAGTAATAAGCAGATTTCTGGTTTGTAAGATCTGTCAGAGCCAGATTTCAGGGACATAAACTAGAATTAAAAGCTGAGAAATTATCAGAACCAAATGGCACTACAAGTATTTCAAACACAAATTCAATTCTGGTTACCCCAAGTCTTTTTTTATTTCAGTAATATAATTTAAATGAGTCAATTTGTTCTTACTGTAAATCTAATAGAATCTGGCCTGGCTTCATCCCACTATTGATTTATAACATCCCAGAGAGCATATTTGGTCCATTAGGATGGGTTCTATTCCATTAATAAAAGAGAAGTGCTTTATTTAATGTAGCTACTTAATTTGATTTTTAAACTGCAATTCTGGATCTGTTTACTTAACAATTCCATAAAAACAAGCAGGAATTAGTTATCAGGTTGTAATGTGTAAGACACTAAGATTCTGAAAATTGTAATGACTCTTCTTGGATGATGCAAATTAACTCACACATTTTGTAAGAACAGAGATAGAGATATTTTTTTGCTTGTTTAAAAGCAGTACAATTCTTTGGATTCAATTTGGAAAAGGTGTTTCACAATGCTCAAGAGCACAAATAGGACTTATTAAAATAACTGAAGTGGGATTGCCCAGTTCTAGAAATAGACCCAGTGGCTTCAATAATTCACAACACATGCTGCTTTCAAGTTTCTCTGCATTCTGAAGCATCTAAGCCAAATGTAAAGACAAACAATTTTAGTTTGTTCAGCACATTGTCATTTAAGTACCTTTTGTGCTATTATGGCTGTAGGAACTATAATTTCTTAATTTTGAAATATAGGACAATTTAATTTTATTACTATTCATTACGGTTATGAAATAAATAGACTTTTTCAAGTCAAACTTCATTCCTGGTGATTTCTTGGGTACATAAATGTTGTTGTTTTCTTGACCTCAAAATAAGAGTGATTTTTCATTGTGTTCTTTGGGATGTTTTATGACTTCCCAGAAGCCCTGGGATGTCCTGGTGATTTTTGTTGTTGTTCATGTTTTATTTACTTTATTTGAATAACATATCTCAAAATTCCATTTCAATCAAACAGTGTGTTGTCTGGGTACAGTTGTTTTGAGGCGATCGTAATCAAAATGTTTACAACAACTTCACAATAACATTGATACTATAATAATAATATTTTGTTTGTCTATTTTATCAAATTTCCGTTTTAACATTTATCCTTTTTATATCCCTGCATTTCTAACTTCTGTTTTTATTGTCTAACCATTGGTAAAATAAGTCCCATGTCAAAAAGTATTCAGTTTCTTTTTTGTCCTTAATAGTAAGTCCTGGTGGTTTCTTTAATCAGGTCCCACTTTGCTTAGCTTTTTTTACAATAAACTAAAATTGGCTAGCTACTGCCATCTGCTGTGATTATTTTTATGGATTAAAATAGAAGTATTAGTTACATTAGCATTGTATTCTTAACATTAATTTTAATAAATTTGACATTAATACTGCTTTGCACATTGTCCTTAGTCCACAGATTATAAGAACCGAAAAGCACACTGCAAGATGCTGAAGAGTAAATTGTCCCACATCAAAAGGATGGTCAGTGATTATGACAATCGGTAGTCATAACAAGAAGGAAACAAATCAAGTTGCATAATTTTCATTCAGCTGGAATACCTTTGTGTTGGACAATAGCCTGAGAGATCCTTTGTATACTTTTATATACTTCATAATATTTGTGCCATGTTTACCATGAAATAAGAATTCAGTATATGGGATCTTTTATAGTTTCACTGAGTCAAGGAATTTTACCACCTATGTTTTCAGGATCAACAGTGGACATTTTAAGCATTTGCTTTCCTTGCCTTTGCTAACTCATTCCATTTTTCTCAGCATATTGCAATCTTAATTTCAGAAAAAAATGATAAATGTTTTTCACTGCAACTTATATAGTACGGTATAAGCTATGTCCTTTATCTAAAACACCTGTCTTCCTCTCTTATTTTTAACCAATTTTATATATCTAGGTTACTTGTAAATAAAAAACTAGCAGGCTTTACTTTTAAATGGCGTCTAAATGGACCCATTGTTGATTAGCCAGTATAATATATTATTGACAATGTGAAACAATGTAAATTTATTCTGTTAAAATCTCAACTTGTATTTTAAGTATCATTTTATTACAGAAATATAATTTTTAGTACTAGTGTGTTTAATTTGACTGTCCAATTTGTAACTCTTATAAAAATGCCTCTATGTTATATTTGACTATATAAGCAGCTACAATTCTATACAAACTTAATGGAAAGTCCCAAATCAATGGGGTTTATTTCTGATATTGTATGCACATTTAACCAGTCCTTTTAAATTGCCAAAAAATCTAGGCTATTCTGTAAAGACATATGATACCATGGCCAAATGACAAAACTGTAAAAGCAAATGTATTCACATTATGAGTAGTCCTTGTGTAACAACCATTCATTCAACAACTGCTTGAAGTTACAGTGGTGCTGAACAAGTGGTACTTTTGACCAGTCCTTGAAGTTTTGGCTGTCCCAACACCCCTATAGTCATGTGATTGCAATCTGAGTGGTTGCCAACTGGCTCACACACTTAAATGGTTGCAGTATCTTGCAGTCATGGGATCGCCATTTGAAACCTTCCCTGCCAGTTTCCCCCAAGCAAAGTCAATGGGGAAGCCAACAGAGAAGGCTACAAGTTGGTAGGTTGCTCATGTCCTCCCCCAACTGGCAGAAACTACCTCTGGCCCTGCCATGTTCAAACCTACTTGCAAACTGTCTGGGACTTGCTTAATGACTCTTCATCCTGGCTTAACACCACCAATGGGGGAGCGTTGTAAGGAAGTGATGTGGTCACGTGACATTGCATTTTACAACCACATTGGTTAGCAATAGAAATTCTGGTCCGAATCACCATGGTTAACCAATGGACTACCTGTAACATATATAATGTCGTAATGCAATAATATTGAAATATTAAAATATTTCATATATTTTATGATATAAATTTTACCATGAAAACAAGTACTATAAAACAAGAGACCCTAACTTTTATACTAATTCTGATTCTCTGTTAGTTTTAAATGCAGGCACTCTTGACAATTATTTCTGGTGATAATTGATTGAACACACTTGCTGATATCGAACCCTGATGGAAAAATTATAAGCACTGAATTGAAAAAACAGATGCATTCATTTCAGATGTGTTCCAGTGTTGTACCTCATGAATGGAATTGGGGAATGTATTTTCTTTTGGTGGGTCCCTAAAATTGCCCAATTTTAGGTTTCTGACAGTGGCTCTATCCAGAATTCTTTTAGATTAGAGGTGGGGAGAGATGCTGGGGAATAAAATGAATGCATGCCATACAATTAGCAGAGGTATATGATGAGTCTGAACCAGGGGTGAAATCCAGCAGGTTCTGACAGGTTCTGGAGAACAGGTAGTGGAAATTTTGAGTAGTTCGGAGAACTGGCAAATACCACCTCTGGCTGGCCCCAGAGTGGGGTGGGAATGGAGATTTTGCAATATCCTTCCCCTGGAGTGGCATGGGAATGGAGATTTTGCAATATCCTTCCCCTCCATGCCCACCAAGCCATGCCCACCAAGTCACAGCCACAGAACCAGTAGTAAAAAAAATTGGATTTCACCACTGGTCTAAACTATGGGATTGCAAGCAAGTTTGATTGTAGAACCATAGAGTTGGAAAGAACACCAGAAGTTATGCAGTCCAAAGGTCTGTTAGACACTGTTGCAAGGTCTCTTGAACCATGTTTTAAAAAATCCATTGAGACCAGTAGGATTCCGTCATGACTAATAAGTCCCGAAATGTGACTGTTTGGATCTATCTACTGTACATTTATGTAAGCACTGTAATAATTTTTGTTTTAAAATCACTTTTTTAAAATAATGGAAATTATGTCTAAAATATGTGACTAGAATGCAATACCTGTATGTTGAAAGACTGGATTTCATTTTGTAATTCGTAATTTGTGATACAGTGATACAACGTCAATAAAAATAAAAACTTTGTCAATGTATAAACAATCAAATCAATTGTTTTGTTTCATATCATATGTGTAGGAACATTAGGTTTAGTTTCATTTCTGGATTATCTCAAGTTTCTTCATGAATGATCAAATTAGAGAGTTAGAAAAATTCATCAATCCTTTTCTCTGTGAAAAATAACCAAGACTCTGTTCAGAAGCATTATCTTGGGGAACAAATAAATTGTAGGAGATGATTAGGTTGAGTCCAAGGGAAGGGTAAGGCACATAATCATTTTGGAGTCCCTTCATGCCCACAAGAGATCTAAAAAAGTTCAGCCTTCCTTGAATGTTGTTGACTTTTTATCTACTGCCAATTTGCCTTGACCATTAGTAGTTCAGATTTTTGTAGAGCGATACCATGGAGTAAACTTGTAATCATTTGAACAACCCTAGTTCCCAATTTCTTGCACCTACAGAAACGTCTTTGAAATATTTACCTGCCAAATTGGAAATGCAATACTTTATCAGACCAATTTAGTAGCACAGCTTGGGATTCTATTATTGGTAACCCTAATATGTATATTAGTCTACTCATTTGATAAGTAATATGGTATTGGAGTCGATCCCTGGAGATAAAATGGAATTAAAGAACTGTTTAAAAGAATTTTTAAAAAGATATTGCATTAGATGCTACTTGCCAATGTGTTTATAGAAGTAATAATGTAATATATCATATATCAGGAATCCAGAAGTGTGCCTTCCTCATAGCATTACCTACTTTCTGGATTGCTCCCCTTGAGATCAAGATGGCCCCTGTTTTGTTATTGTTTAAAAGAGCTTGGAAAACCTGACTCTTCACCCAGGCCTTTAGTGAGATAAAGAGATCCCTCACTTCATTTCACCTAGTCACTTGCAATCTTTTATATTTTTTTGATTTTCTTGTAACTTCTGTTACTGTATTAATAGCTCATAGTTGCTGAGAGTTAATAAAATTTAATAAATTGTTATATACTGTACAAAGATGGTTTTTAAAATTGTATGTATATTGCAAAAAGGGAAGGAAAAAAACTTCAAAGTACTGTATATACCTTATATGCATTAAATCTAAGGCAAGAGACTGTTTATTTCAGTTTCAGTCTGTTTTCTGCAATACTAATGAACTGAATATTGTTATAATTTCATTTTTGTAACTTGTCTGCAACTTATATATAACTTGATAGCAGTCCACCATCACTTTAAAACTAATGGGAACAGGTTATATAAGGAGAATAAAGCTCAGTAACTCAAGCCTAAACTAATTTACACTAATCACATGAACCATAACAAATATTTTAGTATTTTGTATATCCAGTCCATTTCTATTAAGCATTTGAGTGTTGGCAATAAAAGATACTTACCTTAATGCAAATATAGTTATTTTTAAAGATTTACAGTACTTTATATCAAATAAAGTTTGATAGTTTATTTCTGCTCTCATGGAATCTTGGGATCTGCAAATTTATTCATGATGGAAATTGAATATACTGTATATTCGTGTATTTCCATTGGCCCAAATAATTGTCTTTAAGATTTCCTGAACAAATGAAGTAAATGAGAAATAAGTTAGAAGGCTAAACATTAGAATCACAAGCTATTCTGATTCACAAACTCATCCAAACCTGTCCCTTCAGGTGTTGCAAGAAATTATCTCCTGCTAGAAGAATGTTTTGTTAAGAGTATTAAGTTGGAAACTTATCTGATTAAAGAGTAATGTTTGATGCTCCTGTTTTGAACTGGGATATGTAAATACCTGGATCTGCCCTATACCACAGGGAAGGAATTTCCAAAGTAGAAAAAAAGGAACACAAGGTTCACACCAAGTTTCAATTTTAGTTAAGGAAAAAAAGGCTGTGGGTACAGAGCAGTGATGGCTAACCTTTTTGCTGTCGTGTGCCAAAAGCGGGGGGAACATGGTGGGGGTCTCTCTCGCGTGTGCCCACATCCATAATTCAATGCGTCCCAGCCCCCCGTGCATGTGACCCCACCCACCCCCCCGCTCTTGGCACGCAATAGCATGGGGGGCCAGGTAGGCCCATTTTTTGCCCTCCCCAGGCTACCCAGGCTTTCTAGGAGCCTGAGGCGGGTGAAAATGGCCTTCCCCACCCCCCTGGAGGCCGGAAATGGCCCATTTCCCGACTTCTGGTGGGCCCGAAAGGCCCAAAAATCAGATGGCTGGTGCACGCATGCATGCTGGAGCTGAGCTAGGGCAACGCTTGCGTGCCCACAGATATGGCTCCATGTGCCATCTGTGGCACGCGTGCCATAGGTTTGCCATCACAGGTATAGAGCCATGGATTGCAGTCAAATATTTTATATGACATTTTCATTAACATTTTCTAGATTCTATTAATTGCCTCAAAATAAATAGATGAAAATATCTGTATTCTTTCTGAAGAGTTAATACAAGACCTATGGAATCTGAAGGGCAGTCTCATTAAAATTAGGGTGTTGATCTTAAAATAAATTGCAATTGTATGTATTTGTTTCATATGGGAGTGTACTACTTACAAGAACACATTGTAAAGTTTGTGAAGTATATGTAAATTATCAGCTATTAATAGAACTAAACATATCTTAAGCTCTAAACATAAAATATATATCCAATACTGTTCTTCAACTGAAGTATTACAGCTAATCCTCAATTTATAACCACTCATTTAGCGAAGTTCAAAGTTGCAAGACACTAAAAAAATAACTTGTGTCTGCTCCTCACACCTACAACTGTTGCAGCATTCCCACAGTCATTTGGGCACTTGGCAACGCTGCATATATTTACGATGGTTGCAGCATCCTGGGGGTCACATGATCATCATTTGCAACCTTCCCAGCTGGTTTCCAGCAAGCAAAGTCAATGGGGAAAGCCAGATTTACTTAACTGCAGTCATTCACTTAATAACACTGGCAAAAGGCACAAAAAAATGGGCATGAGTCACTTAACAGCTGCCATGGAAATTCTGGTCCCAATTGTGATCGGGATTCTACCCGTATTGAGAACTACCTGTATTGGAATTTTTTAAAAAATTAAATTGCTTCAGTTTTATACTTGGGATCCTACCTTTTTTCTTCCCTTCCTCCCTTTCTTGAATTTTTATGTACTTCAACTGAAAAACTTAAGTATTTTACAAATAAAACATCATAACAAATAGATATAATAAATTAACCTATCTGTTCATGCACAAATTCTGACTCATAAAACCACAATAGTATCATGCACATATAAAGCACCTTCTTACCACTCTCCTAATCCCTGAATGTGAACTTTAATAGCACTGTTTTCAACAGCTTTGTGAATGCTAATAATGAGGATGCAATTCTTATTTCTAAAAACAACTGGCTTCATAGGAGTATGAGCAGAGAATATTAATCTCCAAGTATCCTTTTGCCATAACTCATGGCAGGAGGCAGGATATAGTCTTTCTTGCAAGTGCTCTCAGGAGGGGAGATGTTACCCAAAGCAAGCAATCGTTTTTTTAATAGAAGTATGCTTTTATAAAGCAGCAAGCTATGGATAGTTTTAAAGAAATGTGCAGGTTTGGTAGCAATATTTAGAGGGTATCCAGATATTTCTACATGTTTGTAGTATAATGGTCACCATTCTGAAAGTGGAAAACCATCATGGAAAAAGTCTTTTCTTGTGCACTGATCAGATTAATATCCCTTGACGAGAGCACCTGATCATGTTGTTTGAAATCAATATTGCATTTCATAGGCAATTTGCTATACACTTAGCAATAGTTGTTTTTAAGTATGCCTAGTGGAATTTTATCACAGAAAATGACAGGATTCTATACAGCTCCCTTAAAAAGTCTGTTAACCCTTCCCCTATGCAAACATTTTAAAACAGCATCACTTATGAAAGTCCAACTATAGCGTAGCCTATGTTTCCAAACTGCAAGTTGCAGGTGCTGAGTTCAGCAACCTTAGGCTGAGAAAGAGTGGTTTATTACAATTTTCCAGTGTTGATGGTACAGATCATAGTAAGAAGCACACAGTATTTTTTGAACCAAATCCTTCCTATGCATACCCATTCAACTTCCTTAAATTGATCCCTCCTGACCAATTCAATCCAACCATCAGTCGTATCTGCAGAAACCAGCTGTGCTCTTGACTTAAAATGCTTCATATTTACACAGAAAGCATGTGGGTATATTATATACTCTGATGGTGTCTTTTTTCCCCTAACTAATGCAAACTATTCAGTCAAATTGAACCCTTCCTCCTCTTTTGCTATAACTTGTAGCTGCTTAGCGAGTGGGGATACATTGGTATTCAATCACAATTGTACTGCAAACTATGACATGCATCCTCTCCCATCATTTTTTTAATAAATTGCTCTCACTCTCACGCCTAAATACTGCACATAAAAACAGAGAACGATGCGGTGTATGATCCAGAAGCGAATAAAACCCAAAACTCAAGAATTGGGGTTTTTATCTTTGATACAGCTACGCAAAACAACTTCTTTTCGATTCAGCAGAACTCTTTCGCTATCAAGAAGATACTTTAGAACAGAGGTCCTCAAACTTGGCAGCTTTAAGACTTGTGGACTTCAACTCCCAGAATTCTCCAGCCAGCTGTGCTGGGAGTTGAAGTCCACAGTCTTAAAGCTGCCAAGTTTGAGGACCTCTGCCTTAGAAAGTCTCCTCCAGAAGTCCCCTTTCAAGGATTAAGCCTCTCTAAGCCATTGCCTAATAACAAGAAATTATATTTATTCTGTATCTATATGGTGTTTTCTTCCCGCGATCTCGAGCTTTTTCTTCGGCGGAACTATGCTGCACCGTTTCCGCGCTGCGACCGGAGTGTTTAAAGAAGGGAACTGAATGGGAGAAGGGGCGGTGTTTGGTTGGGTTGTTGCCGGTTCTTTCAGGGAAGGGTGGGTGGGTTTACTTTGCTCGTCTTCTCGTTTTTCCAAACAGCTTTTTGACGAAGGCTTGGTGAATCCCTCCGGTTCCGAGTTTTTTTTTTTTTTTTAACTCTGTCAGCGGAGAAACGCTGTGAGTGCAAAATGCTTTTCTTTTAAAATTGCTGCTGCTGCTCCAGGAAAGGGAACCTTCCCTATTCAGACATGATAGAGCAGTGTTTCTCAACCTTGGTAGCTTGAAGATGGGTGGACTTCAATTCCCAGAATCCCCCAGCCAGCAGCGCTGGCTGGGGGATTCTGGGAGTTGAAGTCCACCCATCTTCAAGCTTCCAAGGTTGAGAAACACTGTGATAGAGGCTGGCTTTTCTTCGACTGTAGCAGTCTTTGGTCAAAGTTTTTGGTCTCGTGTTTTGTGTTACAAATACAATTATTGTTTTCCGTTTCTGAAGTTCACCTTGCAGCCCGCTGTCCGATTGTCATGTCTTTACCTCTCTAATCAATCATACTTTGAGATTACTGGCAATAACTGGTTATATAGTCTTTGTTTTTTGCGTTATCTTTTACAAATGTATCTGAATAAATAGATGTGTCAAAAAACGTATTACACATTAAGTTACATAAATTCCAAGGATATACTTGTAAAAAGTATTTTTTTCCAGTATGTACACAGTAAAGGTTTAGGGACAACAGCTTAAAAACATACCTGAAATTTATGATTATTCACAAGTTGGTCCCTTTGATAGTGAATTAAATCAAATATCCAAGATGCGTAAGAATAGTGATGTTAACCTACATGGATCAGAATGTATTTAGAAAGTAAGGAAATGGGCTGATTTCCCACAGAAGGAATAGAAAAAGGATGTGGAAGTGCCTTGGAACGGAGGGAAAAGAATTAACAGATTTGCAGAATTCTAAATGAAAGGATATGAAAGCTGATGGTGAACTTTGTGGCCTCTATTAAGTCTTAGCTGGATGTTTTCCATGTAGCAAATATACAGGAAACTGTTTTTCAGACGTGAAGGGAACACAGTTACATAAATTTAGTCTGAACACTATTCAGGGATGTGATTATATTAGCTTTATATCATTTCATGTATGCATTGTGTGTGAATATGTGCATCTGTGTGGCTATTTGTACAATGTTTTAAAATCTTTAATTAGATTGTGATAATTATTTTTGTTACTTAACTAGGAAAACATTGACTCAAAGAAATGGATGATGAACCTGAAAGAACCAAACGGTGGGAAGGGGGTTATGAAAGAACATGGTAAGTTTGCTTTTTTAGCACTTAAGTTTCCCTCCATTTTTTAAAAAAATGTGGCATCCTGCTGTAATTACAGTACAGAATTCTTACTCTTTTTGTTTCTTTTGTTTCTAGGGAAGTTCTTAAAGAAGATGAATCTGGATCATTAAAAGCGTCTATAGAAGATATTCTCTTTAAGGCCAAGAGAAAAAGGTAAGCATTTATTGAGTATGGTGTATAATACACTATATTGATATAATTTTACAAGAAATGTGTAAATTTAAAGGTAGTTAATTCCATTCCAATTGGATGTGGAATATTCAGTGCTCCCTTGTTTGAAGTTATATTCAGTCAGATAAATGAAATATAGCACTGTTCTTATCTTTAGTGCTTTATTTTAAAATTCCAAAATATGCCTTAGTAATATTTGTTTATTTATTTAAATATTTTACTCCATTGTTCAGTTGAAAACACTGATTTTAAAATTAAGCAGGTAGGATATTTAATGCTAATATTAAATAAGTAGGCAGTCACATGTCAAAAAAGAAAAGAGAAATTTGGACTGAGAAGGTAAAAATGGAATTCAAGCCCACTTTGTAGATAGCATTATCATATAACAACCAGTTAAAATGACATGCTAATATTAGTTAACATAAATATTTGTGATTTGTTTAACAATTGTGACTCAAATGCCAGTTGAATGTGATAGGATTTATATCTCAGTAAACACAAAACTATACCTGTAATGTGATGTTCTTAAGATAAGATAGATAAAATAACTTTTATTGTCATTTTTTTGTGAGCACACTGGCACATTAAAAATAAAATTCTGTTGCCTGCTCTCAAGAGAAAGTATATATCTACCTAAACACATACATAATACACATATATACATGGTACATATGTATTAATCACTGTCCATTTTGAATACATAGTGGAAAAAGGAAACCTGAGAGTTCATAAGGTTGATGCTATATGTTCTTGATTTCATTATAATTAAAAATTAAGGTACAATTTGTTTATACATTTTTAATGTAAATATAGTAGTACAAATAATGGAACATAGCCTGATACAGTTATTCAGTTTGTTTTTAGTATCATAAACGTTTAACTATTCATGTAAATTGTGCAATTAATTTTTTCTGCAAATTAATTTTATAGATTTCTAGATACTGCTTTAACTGTCAACATTTATTTTTAACAGTTTCTAATTTTGCTGTTCATTTGGTTTAGAATTCCAGTTCATTAAACCTTGTGTCTTTTCCTAGAATAGGAGGCTTCTCTCACAGTAATTAATATGCTAGACACCATGTGACTAGATACTGAAATGGGTCTGGCCTTGAAGACTACTTTCATAAAGCCCTTCATAGTACTTGGGCTGGATATTTGCAGGATTGCTTCTCCAGTTGTATCTATCTACCTGATGAGGTTTGGAAAACTTGATATCCTCCAGGTCCAATCACTTAAACAATGGCACTTTATAGGACCCAGGGGACATGCCTTCTCGGTTGCCATATGTATCCTCTAAAACAGTATAGCTTCTGAGATCCATGTGACCCTCACCTTGCTGACCTTTAGGAAAGAATATGTGCTGTGAATTACTTTTATACTGTATAATATTCTAAGCACCATAAATGTAATATATCTGATTTGTTCCTCGGGTACGGCTATTTTTTTATTGTTTTAATCCTTTGTAAATTGCTCAGAATCATCAATGAATAGGCAGCCTAAAAATAAAAAAAAACATAATTCAAATAAGCACTTAAAAAAAAAGCCAGTAACTAAAACCTTAGGGCAGAATATGGTTGTTAGTATGTTAGGAGATGCAATTTCCCCATATGCCTTAAGTACAGCTTCAAAGTGAAATGGACACTCTGTTAGGAGAAGGATAGCAGGAGAGAGTTTTATTAATTTCTGTTCTAGGATATGAAGGCTGCCAGCAAATAGGCCTATTTTCTTATTAGTATTTAAGTATTTAATTCACTCCTTGCCAAGTTATTCTCATTAGACCGACAGATTTTATTCTGTCAAGATGCTTCATACAACTAGGTGTTATGCCACATAAGGCTTTTTAGATCATACACTGCTTTGAATTGGAGCTGGTAGCCTGTGCAGTAATTTCAGAAGCATTATCCTACAATGAGACAATTAACCCTGTAGGAGTCTTGTCATGCTACTTTGGACCAGTTGTAGGTTCCTGTTAATATCTAAAGGATACATAGAATGTGTTACAGGAATCCTGATGGGTAATGATCAATGCATGAATTACATGGATTATACCTTTTAGAAAATGTACAAAATGACATATACAAACAGTTTACCTACAGATCATGAACATTACAACAATTATTTCTTATTTTATAGAACTTTTGAACATCATGGACAAGTTCGACTTGGGATGGTACACTTTCATTTTCTCATTTTGCTTCAAATAAAATTGCTTAAATTAGACTTAGGCATTAAATGAAGTAGGACAAAGTGGATGACAGCTTCTTGCCTGGGTTTCAGTGTGGGAGGATCAGTGATTAAGGTACCAGGCTAGAAATCATGAGACTCTGAGTTCTAGTGCCGCCTTAGGCATGAAAGTCAGATGGATCACTTTGGGACAGTCACTCTCTCAGCTCAATCCACCTCACAGGGTTGTTGTGGGAAAATAGGAAGAGGAAGGAGTATTAGGTATGTTCGCCACCTTATTTATAAAAAATAAAGGCAAGATAATAAATAAATAAATAAATAAATATGTTTATTATAAATATATCTTTAATTGTGGTAAGTAATAAATTACTTGGACTAGTTCAAGTATATTTTATAATGCTTCAGGCAAAGATATTAGGGTGAAGCCTCAAAAAAAATCTGATACCTGCAGTCTCTACACTTATGTATAATTTTATTTCAGTGGATCTTAAACAAGTTTATGTACGTTTGCAATTTGTAATTCTACATTAAAGGAATTATAGATTTTTTTTTTTGAAAACTAGAATATAAAAAAATTTGTCATTTTAGGTTAAGTTGTATATAAAGGTAATTAATGCTGTTTTTGAATGCATTAATATAATATTCAGTTTATGGTTTTTTAATTTTATAGATGCGTCACCTGTATGTAGTAGTAGATGGATCAAGAACAATGGAAGATCAAGATTTAAAACCTAATAGATTAACATGTACCTTAAAGGTGATTATTTTTGAAATAATTCAAAAGTGCTCCAAATCTGTATAGCAAATATAATGTGGGATTTGTATAGGAGACCCAAATTCTTATTGTTGACCATAGACCAGTGATCATTTCTTAATTTAATGACCTTGCACAATTATTCTAATAGAAAATGGTAGGAAATGACAAAATATAATTGGAAAAGTTAAATATATAAATATAGTACATTGTTCACTATTATTTTCCCATTCTGCATATATAAGAGTCTTATATTAAAGTATTTACATTGTAGCAGTTTTCCATTATGTAAGTTATCAGCATGTATTAACCTGCTTTGTTTCAGTGAATTAGCATGCAATTTAATCCCAAACACATTAGCAACCTCTGATTTCATTGGGAATTAATCCCTAGAAAATGTGTTCCAGAGTGCAGGTAATTACAAATACATCAGTTCAATTTCAAGTCCTGCTAAACTCAACACGTGTCGTAGTCAAAAGATGTACATACTGTAGATTCCACTTACAACTGTTTTTAACCAAATATGTGGACTGTGCAGAACTGGAATCATCATTTTTGAAAAGAAGCTGACCTTGAAGTGTGCTTATTTATATAAATATAATGATCAGATTTCACAGTATTTTTTGCTATTAACTCCTAGATATATTTTTAAACCACTATAGTTTAGAAATTAGTTTGAAGAACATTTTTCTAAAAAGATGCAAAGAATTCAATACATTTGTCCAATATAAAATAGTATTTGATATATTGTTTTAATGTTTCTCATTCTGTAGTTACTGGAATATTTTGTTGAAGAATATTTTGATCAAAATCCTATAAGCCAGGTATGTGCACTGTTGAAAGCAATAAAGTTTCACAGTTGTTGCTTAAACTTCATCTGTTTAAATATACAATTTCTCTTGTAATGTTGATGGTAGTAATAAGTTATTTTGAAGTTTGAAGCCCTGGAAAAAGATTCTAGTGTCTAAGCAATATATATATTGTAGAAAAATAGGATTAAAAACCACTAGCATAAGTTTCAATTCTGCCCTAGGAAAAATCAAAGCTCCAGTGCATATTAATCCTGTACTAACATTCTTATTGAGTAAGGCAGCATGAAATAAATAATGGAAGATAAAAGATTATATAGAATTTGAAATTATGTAGGGCAGGATGCTGCATGCATAGAGCAGCCATTCCTGTAATTTTTTCCCCTTAATGTTTGGTAAAGTGGTAGTGATTAGTTAACCATGTGGAGTTGGGGAAGCAAGCATACTTCCTTTTTTCCCAGTTGTCGCAAGTGGATTCTTGGCGTGGTTCAGAATGAATAAAGCCAGTTTGGTTCTGCAATCTACATAAATGTAATTAATCCTTGTTTGTTTTCCTGGATTATAGACAAATAGTGCATGATAATCCTGAAGTTCTAACTTTTAGAACTGTGATTTCCTTCGCTCCTGGGCTTCCGATTTCATCAGGCAGCATCTATCAAGCCTGCTTTGTAGCTAAATAAATTAGAAACTTAAAAAAAAAAGTTTGGATGGGAGAGCAATGATTCCTAGCATTCTGAAATCTGCATTATCAGATTCCATGGTTTTACAGCACAATTAAGCAATAAATAACTCCTTTATGTAACTTAATTAAGATGCAGACTACAAAATATTTCCTAAAGTATTTTGCTCCAGTAAATATTTTGCAATAATTTAATTTAATTTAATTTAATTTAATTCAATTTATATGCTCCCCCTCTCTGAAGACTCAGGGCAGCTGATAACTGTTTTGACTAAGTCTTTCTCAGCAAAATCTTTGGTAATATAAGAGAAGCAATAGTGTTTGTATGTGGAGCTATCTTACTCTGTCTATTATGAAAATATAGCCATACATTGCTCAATGAATCCTTTTAACGGCAAACAAATTTCTTGCAGATTGGCATTGTTGTAACTAAGAGTAAAAGAGCTGAAAAACTGACTGAACTTTCAGGTACTGATTCTCGTTTCCTCAGTTCTTATTTCTTCCTGAAATGACCATTGTTTTTGATACAAGTAATATATATGTATTTGATCTTGTAAACATGTACATTAAAATGCATTTTTAATTTCCTAAAGGCAGAGAGAGTAACAGCCAAATACATGTCCTAAGGGAGTATTTTCCATAGCCTGGGAGTGAGTTAGGACACTAATATGTGATGACAGGTTAATTTCTTTTCATAGGAAATCCAAGGAAACATATAACGGCTCTAAAAAAAGCTGTAGATATGACCTGCCTAGGAGAGCCTTCACTATATAATGCCTTAAATTTAGCCACCCAAACATTAAAGTAAGTATATGTTGGAAACATAAGTGATTTTTTAAATTTTTATTTTAAAATAGCGGTAAACAATTACACTAATTAAAAGAGCAAAAAATTGAAATGGCAATTTAATAAATGTTGAGTCTAAATACGTATTTTTGTCTCATGCTCTGGTCCTTTTCTTGTCTTGCTTTCAGTGTAAAATCATAATTTCTTGTTAAATCTGAATAAATATATGCCTTGCCTGCATGCCTAACTGGCTGCCTTAATTTGTTCTTGTTCCTCCAATCATTTTGAAATATAAGGATCCTAGAATGGCTTTTCTAATCCTGTTTCCTCTAGCTCTGTTGGATTTCAACATACAGAAATCCTGGTAACTTTTGTTGCTGGAAGGTGTGTAGTCTTGCACAATTATTGAAATAAGTTAAGACTGTGTTAGAATAATAGCTTTATCAAATTGGGTCTTGTTATTAATGATTTTGGAAAATTGTAAAGTCTTGATTTTTTTTTCATTTGTGTTTTTTATCTTTTATTGCTATCAAAGTAAACTTTGCATTTGTATATAGCCACATTTTTTCAAACTAGATATATGTATAACTTCATCTATCTGTATCAGAAACTTGGGTTTGCTTCTTTTAATAAGAAAGGATTTAATAAAACCTTATTCATCTGTTTGCAATTGAAGGTTCAAACAGACTTCACATATTCAATATAATCACAAATAACATTTGGAACTTGTTCTTGTAACTATTAGAAGTGAATATTTTATTGTCTTTAGGCACATGCCAGGACATACAAGCCGAGAAGTTTTAGTAATACTCAGCAGCCTAACAACATGTGATCCCTCAAATATATATGAACTAATAAAGGTACAGAATTTATTCTGTTTTATTATTTAATTGTCATACTGGGCCAGTTTGATAATTAAATAATTAATTGGGGTGTTATGAAATATTGGAAATTTCTTTCCTTTTATAATTTTCTATTCTGATGGGGTATGTTTTTTTATTTCTGTCTTTTTTTCATCCAAAGTCCTTAAAATCTGCTAAGATCAGAGTGTCTGTTATTGGTCTTTCTGCTGAAGTTCGAGTATGCACTGTGCTTGCCAGAGAAACTGGTGGTATGTATATTTATATACATAAAATGAATTCATAAATATGAATATGGATTTTTACCAAAGAAAATGATCATCATTTTATACAAAGTTTATATATATATATATTTAAAGTTCTCTATTTTTCCTGACCATGCAATATAAAGAATTTTTATTTGTAACCATTCTCTTAATATATTTTTAATATGCTTCTGGTTGTGTTCAATAACCATTGTAAAATGTTGAATTCTTTGTTCCCTGGAAAACATTCACAATACCAGTTCCCCATTTCTGTCGTGCATTTGAAGCATGGCTGAGAAATCTTTTGATGGTTGTGGGCGACACTAAACATGTAATGAGTCACACAACTGCAGGGTGATAGTGGAAGGAAGTTGGTGATGTGATTTTAAAAGAGTTATTTCCTTTCATTTTAGAGGGAAATTCTGGACTTGTTCTGGTTTAAATTATGTTAGCTATTTTAATGTTTATACTCCAGAGTTCTTTTTAAAAGTGTATTCTGCTTCAAAATGATAAAAAACATGCTACAAAGTGGATTTATTGCTGCCTAGAGAGACAGAGGACACAACAGCAACAGCATGATGGGAAGTGTGTTCAGTGTAGCTGCAAGGAACTTAAAATATATATATTTCAAACAATTGCCTTGCAGCAAATTTTAGATTATTGATGTATTTTCTGTTTTAATCATCATCATCTTCATTTAACGACCCCATAATCCCTTGTGGGGTGGAGTCTGAGCAACTGAATGGACCTAGTGTTTTAATAGCCAGATGCCCTTCCTGTCGCCAATGCGGAGTTTTGTTCAGCAGATATATTCTCAGTGTGCCCAGAGAGAGAAATATCTGCCTCTACCGAAAATCGAACTCACAGCTTCCTGATTGTGAGGCAACAGCTCCATCTCTAGGCCACCGCACCACTCCTATTTTCCATTTAATAGCACAAGAAAATAAATTAGGAGCATATGGTAACTTTAATAAAGTAAAAAAGAAGGTGAACCTTTCTTAGTATTTCATATAAATTGTGTATCTGACAATCAGAATTGACCAGATCTTTCAGACTCTTCAGTTGCAATAGAATTTGATCTAAGTATTTTATTCAAAATTAAATTATTAAAATTGTTACATTGTAATAGGTGCAATCAATGTAATCAATGCTTCACTAATATTTTTTTTAATCAGCCTTACAAAAATTCAAGGGCATAATTGGTTTCACTATTCCTGCTATGTATTGTTCTCTATGTATTAGCTAAACTGGGCTTCCCAATCCCTGGTCCACGGCCTGGTACCAGGCCGTGGCCTGTTGGGAACTGGGCAAAGCAAGTGGTGGATGAACGCGCGAAGCTCCATTTGCGCATGTGTGGGATTATGTTGTGCCCCAAACCACCCCCTCCCTGCTATTGCCACCGCTGGGCCACGGAGCTTAAAAGCTTGGGGATTGCTGGGCTAGACCAAAAGAGAAAACAGTACCTTTCCTTTTTAGAGAACTTCTTTACTTGCAAAGAGTCATTTTTTAAGTCTGCAGGACACTTCTCACTCCTCCAATCAGGCAATCAGGCAGGTAGCTTTTGATACATATGCTGGCAGTGGTTGCAACTTCCATTCTATTATTTCTGTATGGCAGGAACTTACCATGTTATTTTAGACGAAAGCCATTATAAGGAACTCCTGATGCATCATGTCAGTCCACCACCAGCCAGTTCTAGTTCTGAAAGTTCTCTTATTCGAATGGGTAAGAATTCTGCTCCTTTTAAGAGTTCAGTATTGAACACACAGCATTTCTGTAAATGTTCTATGCAATTCTGTTTATTCCATTGTTTTAACATGAGAAATGCAGGTCATATTATGGACACCCAGAGGTAAAATTCCACCAAGTCTTTTTTGTCTCTAGGTTCAGCATGCAATATCTCAATAGCAGTGGTGGGTTTCAATTTTTTTTACTACCGGTTCTGTGGGTGTGACTTGGTGGGCGTGGCATGGCTTGGTGGGTGTGGCTTGGTGGGCCTGGCAGGGGAAGGATAGTGTAAAATCTCCATTCCCTCCCTAATCCAGGGGAAGGATACTGCAAAATCCCCATTTCCTCCCAATCAGCGGGGACTCGGGAGGCAGAGAATAGATGGGGGCGGGGCCAGTCAGTGGTGGTATTTACCAGTTCTCCGAACTACTCAAAATTTTCGCTACCGGTTCTCCAGAACTGGTCAGAAGCTACTGAAACCCACCTCTGCTTAATAGTAGCTTGTTTTACCATATGTAAAACAGAACATGCAGCTTCTTTCAGTACAGCTGCTTCTTATCAAAAGAAACTGAAAGAAGCTGCATGCTGCTGTTCATTGAGAATTTGCACAGATTGGACCATTTTTTGATATTATGTCCTGTATCTTGCCTGAATGCAAATTTGGACAACTTCAAATTTTTTAAGTATCTTTTTTTCTTACATAGGCTTTCCTCAGCACACAATTGCACTAATGGCTGACCAAGATGCAAAACCATCTTTTAGCATGGCGTAAGTAATATGTGATTACCTATTAGATATTGCATTTCATAAGGGCACAATCTTAAGGTATGTTAGATCATCCAGTAGCTTGTGATTCATTTTCTACATCTTCTCTGTAAATGTAGGCAAACTCCGTCTTGCTTTTTCAGCCACGAGAAATAGGGGATGATATATTGAAAACTACATTTTTGATGCAATCCTTTTCTGCATATTTTAAATTTTTTATCAAAATAAAAATTCTTTTGTTCATTCTAAAAGTATTAATCAACTGATCTTTTTAGATGTACTAATTGCCAATAATTCCGTTGCTATTTTGCAAGTGAAAATAATCCTGATATATTTTTAGCATTTTATTCATTGCAGGACACTAACATTTTCCCTATAAAATGTAGCATAATTGCTGGAAAAATACATTATAAAATAAAAGCATTTAATAGTCATGATTTCTTTGATGTATGGCAATTTCTGTAAGTATTACTTTATTACTTGTACAAGCTTAACATATCTCCCTTTAATTTTGTTCAAATAATTCAAGCACATTCAGTTCAAGTATTCAGGAAACAATATGTTTCTATACAGGCATCTGGAAAACAGCAATGACCCAGGCCTTACACTAGGAGGATATTTCTGTCCCCAGTGTAGAGCCAAATATTGTGAGCTCCCTGTGGAATGCAAAGTGTGTGGTGAGTATCAGGGCATTTATACTTGTCTATCATAAATGGAGCTTAATAGTATATTCTCCTTTTTTGTTCTTATAGTTAAAAACAAAGAGGGATAAAAACTTGTTCCACAGTTACAGCATTTCTACTATAGTTAAATGACACTTACTTCATTTTTCATAAATGATCTATATCTCAGTTGCTTCAATTGTGTTACATTCCCTAGAAAATTGTACCTTTATCTGTTACATGGGTCCCAAGTGGCTGCTATTATTATGACTTACTTAGCAATTTAAAAATCCAACTCAAATATAGTTAATCTCCTGGAGTCTGAACAATGGTTAAAGATTTGTTGCAGTTTAAGGTAGAAGGAATTTGTTTATGGAATGAATACAAAATAGTTTCAAGTAAGATGTAATTTGAAGTACTACTACTTCTACAAGAATTTAACAATGTAGAGCTGATTAAAGTTTCCTCCTGTACTTAAGATTGTGGTTTGTTTATCTGATGCTCCGTTAATGAGTATCTATTAATGCTTAAAGCATACCTAGTTTATTAATCTTTTGCACTTTAGCACATTGCTAGATTTGAATAAAAGTATGTTTTGAGATACCTGAATAGACATTTATAGTTTTGGGATTATAATTTTATTGTCCTGTTTTTTATGCCTGAGTTGAGATTATGACTTAATTGTAATTTACATCTCTGTGTAAGTATTTTAAATAATACTTTAAAATTGTTGCTGATCTATTAAAAAGATATGTTTACTAGAATGGGAAGTCCACATGCACTTGTATCTGTCATGTTTCATTAGAAATTTAATTCCATTCCTGTGTGCAGGACATTCCTAGTTGATAACACCTGAATGAATTAATTCCACAATGCACTAGGACTGAAATTAGACTCAACTATAAATCATGATAATTAATCACAGATGTTGGATTCGATGTGGCTATTCTGTTAGGACTAGACTTCCGTATGCATATGCTCGTTATCATACTTTTACTTCAACCCTTTTAGGCAATTAGAATAAGCTTATTCACTTTCAATGTTACATGGCTAAAAATAAACTTGAAATTTTTATATACTGGACATACTATTTTGGAATGAGGAACAGAGGTTTGAAAATCAACAGAACCTATTTTATGCAGGGCTTACACTAGTGTCTGCACCACATCTGGCTCGATCTTACCATCACCTATTTCCTTTGGATGCCTTTGAGGAAGTCCCAGTGGAGCAGTATAGGGGGGAAAGGTATGTAAAAAATATTTAGGATTATCAATCCAAAATTCGAGGAGTGTTGTTTTTCGGCTAAATGGTATATCCTTTAATGTTTCTAGTTAAGTGTTTGACTAGCCCCTTGTCTAAAATACAACATATTCACTACTAAGTAAATATTTCCAAATTATTTTTTTCAGTTTATGAAAAGATTTCTTTTGATTCTTCATTTATTACTTAATGTTTCTACAGTAATTTAAGGTTTGAGGCAGAATTCCAACTTTTGGGTACACAAAGAAGAGCCTTTTCCTATCTTCATCTCAGGCAGTTGAATCCTATTCCTTGACGGTGTGAATCCCTAAAGAAAACTTGGTTAAAGGTTTCTTTATGGAAACCATTGTATTCTGTTTATTTTAAATAAAGGGATTATATAGCATTTACAATGGCACCACCAATCTTCTTCTAATTCTGGTAATAAATTGGAAGAAAAAGATTAATACACATTTCCTAATAGAACTTTGCAAATATTTTTTAAACAGGTATTGTCAGGGATGCCAGGGAGAAATCAGAGATCAACATGTAAGTATTTATTAACTTCAAATTGTAAACAATTTCATATTTTATGTCCATCCAAATAAGAAACATCCTCATATACTGTATTTTTCACACTATAGGACACACTTCCTCTTCCCCAAAAAGTGGGTAGAAATGTCTGTGCGTCTTATAGAGCGAATATTGCGGGGGATTGGTGTGGCAGCAGCATTTGCTGCTGCCTGTCACTGCTGCCGCTGTTCACCACTGCTGGGGAACCCTGGAGCCTTCGCTGCCGAGCAGCTGATCGGCAGTTGGATTGGCCTCCCAGAATATTGCCAATTAGCTGTTCTAGGCAGTGGGGATCGCGATTGGTGGTGAACAGCAGCGGTGGTGCACGGCAGCAATTGGCAATGGCAGTGATAAGTAACAGCGATCACCACCACCTAGAACAGCTGATTGGCGGTATTCCAGGAGACTGATCCAACTGCCAATCAGCTGCTCAGCAGTGAAGGCTCCAGCATTCCCCGCCAGCGGCAGCAACTCAGCTCAGCTGACCAATGGTGGGCGCAACGGAGCGGAGCCCTGACGAGCCACATGCTGGGGCTGCAATAACATGCTGAAGCTGACCAGGCTGTTTGCTGTTTGTTGCAAGGACGTTAGCCAGATGAATACCGAATGGATGCTGGGAGGCAGATTTTTTTTCTTGTTTTCCTCCTCTAAAGTTAATGTGCGTCTTATAGTCTGGTGCGTTTTATAGTGTAAAAAATATGGTATATATCACATTAGATTTTGGGCCTTGAAAATAATTATTTTCCATCTTAATATCAGAATAGGCCAGCTTTCATTGCAATGTAATAAAATTATTGCTTATATCATTTGCTTAGCAAAATTTTAAAAAGCATATGAGGTCATTACTATCTTATTAACAATAAGATGATGTGCTAAGATGTAACTTGTAACTTTCATTTCCCCCCTCAGGTCTACATTTGTAAAGTCTGTCATAGTGCATTTTGTGTTGAATGTGATCTTTTTGCTCATGATACCTTGCACTGCTGTCCAGGTTGCATTCACAGCCATCCTGGTCCTCCCTGCATTTGATGCCTCTGATTAAATATTTCTTCTTGTACATTCCTCTGAGCAGAGAATCCTCACCAGTTATTGAACATTGTCAATAAATTAAGTTAAAGAGAAAGATAAGGAAGATGAGTCAGCTGGAGGCGTATCTAAATATGAATCTGCGCACCCATTCTATGATGTATTTAATGGAGACATAATTCTCTGTGTTACATGTATTTGTTTTTGATAATGTTCTTTTGTAATAATATGGAATAATGTGCCAAATATATCTTGAAAGTATTAAACTGGATGTCTGCACTTAAAATATGAATCTTATTTATATATTGCTTTTCTTAAATATAATTTTTGAAATTATAAAAGCTATAATCTGACACTTAATTGGAAATACTTCATGGCATTTATTTTTATGTACCTGTGTATTATGTCTCTGGGACGCAGTGGCTCAGTGGCTAAGATGCTGAGCTTGTTGATCAGAAGGTCAGCAGTTCAAATCCCTAGCGCCACATAATGGCGTGAGCTCCTGTTAGTTGTCCTAGCTTTTGCCAACCTAGCAGTTCAAAAGCAGGTAAAAAATGCAAGTAGAAAAATAGGGATCAGTTCGGTGAGAAGGTAACAGCACTCTGTGCGCCTTCAGCGTTTAGTCATGCTGGCCACATGACCATGGAGACGTCTTCGGACAGCGCTGGCTCCTCGGATTAGAAACAGAGATGAGCACCGCCCGCTAGAGCCAGAAACGACTAGCACATATGTGCGGGGGAGCCTTTACCTTTATATTATGTCTGAATTTACAGAACATGAAGCTTCTATTCTGTGATAGCCCCCTGTGTATCCTAGCTTCCTTTGTCCATTCCATTAAGGGTAAGGAAAAGTTGAGACTGATTCCAGATAATTAGTTTTCTTCCATGTCAATAATTTTAAAGTACTATGTATTTTGCTGTAACATTGTTTACAATTTAAAGATGAAAATTTACAAATGTCCAACTCTTCTTTAGCTTCCATAGGCAGAAGAGAAAGCTGCTCTCCATAAGCACAAGATCTATTTAAAGTAATTTTTCTATGCAGAATTTTTTATTAGAGATGTGATTGTAATTAGTGAGACTTGGAATATAATTTTAAAAATTACTCTTAAATCTGTTAACAAGTTCTGCTAATATCTAGAGTAAAGGTTGACTCTCCAATGACATCCAAAGCAACTCATTATGATACTAAAATGATGACATATGTGATTATGTAATTATTATGTATAATGTGAACTTAAGGTCAATGTATTTAATGATCCTGCCTCTTATTTTCCCCCCAGCAACTCTGTTGGGCTGAGAGAAAGTGACTGGCCCTAAGGCAGGTCTAGAACTAATAGTCTCCTAGTTTCTAAGCAGCACCTTAATCACTACACCAAACCTGGCTCTCATAGAAATTGTGTATTTATATATTTACATCAAACATCTGGCTTATGTATGTAAATTGGGGCAGTTGCATTATTACATTTCTGCAAATGTGTATTAATTTGCTCCTCCACCTGCAGACACTTTCGTTGCTTTGTTTCAGTCATACCTTTAGCTATAGTTTTAGCAGCAAAGCAGATGATTATTTGCAGAAATGTGTCCTCTTAATTTTTTATTGTAATTTATCTAATCATATGTTCTGAATATAAAAAATAAAATCTAAATATGTTTTATTTTCATTTGGCATAGCCTAGTATGCCGCCAGTCACTGTTAAAATCCTGGTTTTTGTTTTCAGAGTACATAAATAGTTTCCAGCTCCAGTGATTTAGCAATAAATAAATAAATAAATCAAGCAGGATATTATCGTTGATGCTTCAATAGATGTTAATGAACTTAATGAAGGCCATTCACCAGAATGACCAGACTGTTTTTATCCCGTGCCCTGGGCTGAATCCCAACTGAAAAGGATCTAGATTAGGGTTTTTGAAACAGCGCTCCAAGGAACTTGGGGTTTCACAAAGACTTAAATGGGTTCCACAGATATAAGGGGAGGAAAACCCGTTTGCAAGAAACGAAGAATAAAAAACAAAGAACACTCCTATCCACCTCCCTTCTCACTTGCCTCAGCACTGGCTTTTGGGAATGCTCTATGCAGGAGACAACCGGCTGCCTTTCCCACACCATATGTATCCATGCAAAACTTGATTTCCTGCCTGCCACCAAATTCTGACACATTCCTAGCTGCACAAGAGCAATTGCAGGGAGTCCTTCCATCTGTCTTCACTTTCCACATTGGAAACACTACAGTCTTTGTGTCTGAGTCTGTAAGTCCCCAAGAGGCCCACTTGATTATTTTACTTGACATTTTGTGCACACCTATTTAGGTGTAAGGCTTATTGAGCTGTGTGGGTACTATAATGAGATTTGCAAAGACGAGGAAGATGAGTGCTAATGTGGCTTCAGTTAGATATTCACATCCCATTAACCCCCATCCTAAATATATGCCCCTAAGGTATACAGTGGGGCAAAAAAGTATTTAGTCAGCCACCAATTGTGCAAGTTCTCCCACTTAAAAAGATGAGAGAGGCCTGTAATTATCATAGGTAGACCTCAACTATGAGAGACAAAATAAGAAAACAAATCCAGACAATCACATTGATTTGGAAAGAATTTATTTGCAAATTATGGTGGAAAATAAGTGGTCACCTACAAACAAGCAAGGTTTCTGGCTCTCACAGACCTGTAACTTCTTCTTTAAGAGGCTCCTCTGTCCTCCACTCATTACCTGTATTAATGGCACCTGTTTGAACTTGTTATCAGTATAAAAGACACCTGTCCACAACCTCAAACAGTCACACTCCAAACTCCACTATGGTGAAGACCAAAGAGCTGTCGAAGGACACCAGAAACAAAATTGTAGACCTGCACCAGGCTGGGAAGACTGAATCTGCAATAGGCAAGCAGCTTGGTGTGAAGAAATCAACTGTGGAAGCAATAATTAGAAAATGGAAGACATACAAGACCACTGATAATCTCCCTCGATCTGGGGCTCCATGCAAGATCTCACCCCATGGGGTCAAAATGATCACAAGAACGGTGAGCAAAAATCCCAGAACCACATAGGGGGACCTAGTGAATGACCTGCAGAGAGCTGGGACCAACGTAACAAAGGCTACCATCAGTAACTACACCGCCAGGGACTCAGATCCTGCAGTGCCAGACGTGTCCCCCTGCTTAAGCCAGTACATGTCCGGGCCCATCTGAAGTTTGCTAGAGAGCATTTGGATGATCCAGAAGAGGATTGGGAGAATGTCATATGGTCAGATGAAACCAAAGTAGAACTGTTTGGTAGAAACACAACTCGTCGTGTTTGGAGGAGAGAGAATGCTGAGTTGTATCCAAAGAACACCATACCTACTGTGAAGCATGGGGGTGGCAACATCATGCTTTGGGGCTGTTTCTCTGCAAAGGGACCAGGACGACTGATCCGTGTACAGGAAAGAACGAATGGGGCCATGTATCGTGAGATTTTGAGTGCAAACCTCCTTCCATCAGCAAGGGCATTGAAGATGAAACGTGGCTGGGTCTTTCAGCATGACAATGATCCCAAACACACCGCACCGGCAACGAAGGAGTGGCTTCGTAATAAGCATTTCAAGGTCCTGGAGTGGCCTAGCCAGTCTCCAGATCTCAACCCCATAGAAAACCTTTGGAGGGAGTTGAAAGTCCGTGTTGCCCAGTGACAGCCCCAAAACATCACTGCTCTAGAGGAGATCTGCATGGAGGAATGGGCCAACATACCAGCAACAGTGTGTGCCAACCTTGTGAAGGCTTACAGAAAATGTTTGACCTCTGTCATTGCCAACAAAGGATATATAACAAAGTATTGAGATGAACTTTTGATATTGACCAAATACTTATTTTCCACCATAATTTGCAAATAAATTCTTTCCAAATCAGACAATGTGATTGTCTGGATTTGTTTTCTCATTTTGTCTCTCATAGTTGAGGTCTACCTATGATGTCAATTACAGGCCTCTCTCATCTTTTTAAGGGGGAGAACTTGCAGAATTGGTGGCTGACTAAATACTTTTTTGCCCCACTGTATGTATATATTTATATTTATTTTGTTTTTCTATTATGTCTAATATCTATTTAAAAAGAACATTTTTTTCAATTATAGATAATTGGCTACCAGACTGGCATAATATCAGATAGTATACAAAAAGGTGAAAATAAAAGAAAAAAAATTCCAGGGTCGCTAATATTGCTGCTTCTGGCACATTTTCAGAAACTAAATTTGATTGATTTTATTAACATTTCTTTTTTCAGAATTTATGAATGTCTTGAGTATAGCTTTTTTTTTAAACCCAAAATTGCTAGTCAAGCATTGAAATATGTGATATTTTTGTAAGACCATCTATATGCAGCAATAAAAAATAAATCTAGAAATAGGCTAAATCTAGATTACATTATTGTTCCTTACCTTCAACTTTTATCCAAGAAAAGCAATTACATTGTAATCATTGAAACTAAGTTATTTGCTTAAAACATTAACACACACCCTGATAACTGAAACTCAACTTTTATTTTTGTTTTTGGCATGTACAGTAGACAGTTTACTTTTCATTTTATTAGCAAATTTGTATCATCAACACTATAACTTTTAATCGGGGTTCCAGGAATTTTTTTAACAAGTTCCGTGGCTTGGGAAAATGTGAAAACAGAGGAGTTTTCCTGTTGATTTAGATAATCAATTTCATCTAAGAATCTCTGTATTCCCATCCCGCCCAGCAATAAAATCATTTTGCTGCAGAAACTGCTCTTCCCTTGTTTCGCTTTCCACAGATATATTTCTCAATTGAGGAAAGTCCATTTTTCTTACTTCCTCTTTCCTGTAAAGGAAGAGTTTTCTTTTGGTTTGAGGGCTGAGAGAACCTTTTTTCCCTGAAGCAACTCATTTCAATTGTCTGTGAATCAGGACCTGGAAACAGGTAAGTTCTAATGCTAAACTATCAATAAAAGAAGATATTCCTTTATCTTTCCTTATCCTTCCTAAAGTTTCAACTTTAATTGAGCTGATGAACTGTGAGTTTTACAAGACTGCAGTTCAAATTCAAAGGGAAAGAGGCGATGTTAATTTGAAGTGTTTCCTGTAGATATCAAGAAATCGTGAACACTGCCTGCATTGGTGAGAATAAAAGTTTCTTTTAATGCCAGAATCATGATTTTATTAGTACCACAGCAAGGACCCCAAAGATTGTTATGTCTTATTTGAATTCAGACCCTATTCATTTCCAAGCCATTTACACAAATTTGAATTGCAAGTGACATGTCATCTTCACACATAAGAAAATGTCCTAGAAATTTGTTTTTGCATTGAACAAGTAACAAGAAGAAATTATGAGAGAACATGCATAAATATTGTGTGCACAAAATCTACCTCTATATCAATGTAAGCTCTTTTAAAAAGACATTTCATTGATTTTTTTTTAGGTTTTTAATTTTTTTTCTGCTATAGCTACATTGCTCGGACATACTAGACTCACTAGAAAAATGTGGCACAGGAGTTTTAATATGTTTTTTTCTAATAGCTCAAAAAGTGGGAAAAGGGAGAGGAGGAAGTAACTTGTAAATACTTTTTAGCAGAAACTGACTTCAGATTAATAATTGACATCCTGCCTAAGATTTTGTTTCTACTGTCTGGCAGAGGAACCCGAGAACCACCAAGTGAATGCTCATAATATGCCGGGATAAACAAAATCTTGAGCAATTTCCTGGCTTTGGATGAGTTTATAAAGTCTGTGAATTAATCCTGTTCCTTTCCTCCTAGACTGGTAGCCTCAGGTACTGAGGATGGATACAAGTAGGAGGGTAGATGCTCTCCTGATATTACTTGGAAACCGTCCTTCATGCCTGTAATCTATCCTCCAGGATAATCCTGAACACAGTTCTAGTGTGCTTTTCAAAAACTGCTAAATCTGTTTCCAAAAATGACCCAGCTGTCACATTGCAACAGTAAAGGATGAACACATAATGAAACAGAAAGCAAGCTCTTTGAAAAGACAATTTGTCTTTTTGTCAAATTTGTCAATTTGAAGGGGGGGATTTAGTAGTCTAAGGATAGATAGGTTAATTTAGTTTATGATTGTTAATTGAAATACCTTATATTTTGCTCTGGGAAGTGGGGGGGGAGGGTGGGATGAGAGGAGGGAAAGGGTGGGGGGGGAAATCTTTTTCTTTTCTGTAAAACTTTTCAATAAAAAAAAGAAAAGAAAAGACAATTTGTCACACATTCAGAAATAGTCTTGCTCACAAACTGGAGGCATGGAGCACTTCTGATCCATCAGCCTGCTAGATGCGCAACTTGATAATTGGCCAAACCCAACATTCATTCTCCTGTCAACCTAGCAGTTCAAAACCATGCAGATCAGGGATGGGTTCCACTTACTTTTACTACTGGTTCGCAACAGGAGCATGCACAGATCATCAGTGATGATGTCAGGGTGGGTGGGTGGAGCCTCCTGCTGCCATTACTACCGGTTCGCAAGAACCAGGCCGAACCAGGAGCAATCCACCACTGATGCAGATGCAAATTGATAAATAGGTACCACTTTGGTGGGAAGGTCACAGCATTTTGTGTACCTCAGGGTACAGTCATGCTGGCCATATTACCACAGAAGTTTCTTCGGACAATGCTGGCTCCCTTGGCTAAGGCTAAGAGACATAAGCACTGCCCCCTAGA